AATTCTAAAGGATCTTTTTTTTTCAGAGTGGTAAGGAAGTAGAGGCCTTTTTTTTAAACGTCTATATTCTTCAACCATTGATATGTTAGTAATAAATGAAGAAGGATAAAAAGAGGCAATATATACCTTTGATCAATTTATATAATGACTTAATATAATATATGCCTAACTCACAGTAAAATTTGTTGATATAAAGATACTGAAATCTCTGACAAGATTAAACCTTACGTTTTATGCACTATAAGCGCAAAAGCATTTTACAAGGAAAACTGATACCTACTGGATAGTTTACCATCAACAATAAATTTATCAGATTCCTTCTTAATTACAATATTAATAATGCCTTCAATTACGCTTAATGCCACACTTATTTTTAAGGAGGAGAGGTCAAAATCAGTTACAATTCCAATAGTTCTATTGCATACTTCTTTTTTATCAAATTATTCTTTAAATATATAATATATGCACTCTTCTGAAGATACAAATAAGCAGAAAAATTTATTCTGTGTTTAAACAATTTCTATGAGTTACTTAGGTCATAATATTGTCAATTTATGTAGTTAATTGCAGTGCTGAAAAAGAATTTGTCCTTGTTAATAGAAAGAAAATTGCAAACAGTACAGTTAATACAGTTTGCAGTTTACTTATAATTAACAATGCTTGTAAGATTAAGGAATGCGTTAAGAAATCTGTGATATTCGTAATCTATAACCTTTTGATATAAAGTATTTCATGTTCACAGAAAGATTTATCCTATCCTAATTTCTTGCAACATATTATAATATTATAAGTCACTTTGCTGCCTTCGTAAGTATTTCAAGAATAAGAAATAGAATAATTTTCACTTAAATAAACAATAGACAGGTAATTTAGACACAGGGAAAAGTTGAGCCAGATTGCTAATAACTATAATATTAATCTTATCAAATGTGATTATCTGTTCCTTGATAATGAAAAATATGTCAGAAATAAATCTGAAAAGAGTTGCAGACACCATAGATACCTCTTCAATAATTAGAGTATTAATCTTTTTTAACAATTGGAAAAAAACGTAGTCATAAAAGGCTAGAGACTAGAAATCTTCTAATATTTTACAAATTTCAAGCAAGGGTAGATGGATCCTCTGCTAATATTTTAGGCTGTGACTCTAGCGAGAGCCATCAGCAATTAGTTGTAATTTTTACTTGACAAATTTTAATAATCAGGTGAGGATAAAAGACTTGCCTGTTCTAGAAGAATTCATGATAAAAAAGTAAGGGTATTTGTGTTGTTAATGAATAGGGCCTAGAACATTTTGAATGATTGAAAGTATGTGCAGTTGGTTTTTTGAAAAGTTTAAAATATTAATTTATGGTAATATTAGAGAATTTAAGTATAAGGAACGTAGCTGCATATCAATGAGATTCAATATAGAGATAAGCATCACAGATTGTAAATTATCTAATAAAGTTTTTATGACTCAATTAAATTAAATATTTAATTTTAATTGTTAGACGTACAAATGATCTTGCATGAGCTAATAAAAAGCATCATACAAGTCAGGATAAAAATTCAACTAATAGCTCTGATATATTTCAAAAGGTCTTAATAATTATTCTTCAGTTCTACACAAAAGTTCAAGTAAAAGTAAAATTGATCATTTTGCAAGATTAAGTAACTGAATCAGACTAATTTAGGTATAGATCATTTAATAACATAATTATCTAATCGATCAATATGTACAGGTCATTTGGTAGTTAAATAGATAGTGATTACTTTGTAAATCTTAAAATATTCTAGATATGTCAGGTTAGTGAATTCCTCTTTATCTAGGCGATTAAAATATTTTTTCATATGATTCTTTTAGTAAGAATTATCATCTTCTGTAATTAAACTGATAAGATAAATCGCTTTTTGCCTACTTGTGAAAGGATCTGTAAGAAGATATATGATGGTACAAGAGGAATCACAGATTATCTTTCCTAATATTAAGAATATTAGTTCTATCACATCTAATCTACAAGCTATCACGTATTTTCTAAATTTATCATCTTCTTTGATATTAGAAATATGCAATGATTTAAACTTAGTCAAATATTTTGTTAAGTAAAGGATCAGCTTTTGTGAACTGACATATTATACATTAATGTGCGCATTCTATATCATCAAAGTTTTGACATAATACAAAATGATCTACTGGTCTTCAGATTTAACGCATCTATAAATATAATGTTGAGTTTCATAATCATAGTAGATTATTAGAGAGAATTAACAGGGAAAATGTTTTTTAAGATGTGATCTGAAGTGGGTAGACCTCCACATTTACTCAGGATGCAGGTATATATTTGATTTGCCATTACTTTAGCATATAATTCTGATTCAGTTAAAGGGTTAAACATGTCAGATCTTATGAGATTCTCACTAATAATTTGGTCGATTCTTTTAGAAGTCTAATAGATACTATAAGTATGAGCGGCACTACAGTTTTAACATTTGATATGTTTAAAGAAGTGCTTAATTTTGTCTCATCTTAAATGATCTGGATTCTTCTATATGTACTTTTTGAACTGTTAGAATCAATATACAAAATGAAAGTACTGTATAAAGGTCTATTAGTTGGATTTGTATCTCAATTGTCAGTCACTCTTAAAATATAATATAAGTGAAGCCAATGATTTTCTGTCATTATTAGCATAATGAATAAAGTTGAAAGCCTATATAAAGTTATTATTGTATTAACGTAAAGTTCTTTCTAATGAAAGTAGATATTACTGATATAAATGAATATAGGTAAGATAGTAATTACAGATTCATTTATGATTAAGCAGTTGGAGTAGGTTGATTTTTGAATGAGCTAAGTCATAGTTAGAAGGTGATAGACCTTGTTCACTTAGTTTTATCACTAAATTTATTTATTATTTTAATAGTTGCGAATCTTTTTCAGTTGAAGGTACAACCAAGTAAATCACCTATAGTGAAATCTAAATTGAGGATCAATGTTAAACACACAGTGTTTAATATATTTAGAGTAAATTTCTTTACAAATATTATTATGACCTTCTCCTAATTCAGATATTTCATCATCATAGTATCCTATTTATCTGGAAAAAGGTCAGAAAAGAGTAGAACCTAACATATATATATATATATATATATATTTTTGTATGCAATTTATTAAGATAATAAAATAGAGAAAATAGGTTAATCTTTTTTGAACGTAAAGTATGCCAAAAATTTAAGTGAAATCTTCATTATATCTCTAAATTTAGGTCATTCATGGCTAAGGATAATAGAATATTATCTAGAAATCTGACAAATCCAACCATCAGATGCAAGTAATAATAATCCTTATTATATATCTTCACATTAAAATTGACATTGAGAATCATGATGTCATTAGTTAAGCAGAAAGGTGCAGAATTATCATCAGGTAAATGGGAGATAGTAGAAAACAGATTGGTCTTAATAGATCCAGATGAATCTAAAATAGTTTTTTAGGAAAGGATTATGTCTTTTCAACTAGTCTGCTACTATGATCAATATTTCGTTAATCTAAGATCTGGTAGAATTTAACGTAGATTTATCTTCTAAGTAAACACTAAGCATCTTAGAGTATAATATCAGTAATTGTATGTTTTTTGAAAAATTCATCATTCTGACTAACATTCTATATTCAGAATAAACAGTACTGCTGCTAGAGCTTTTTCTTAAGGAGTAATGTATAAGAACAGGTGATAGGTACATTATTCTTTTTATTAGAATATTTTGGATTTCATTTAGGATTGAATGTAGGAATGGAAAAATGTATCTTTTCCTTGGACTCTTGCAAGATAAACATACTGCAATATACTAAGAAAGTCTCATATGAAATGTTAATGATGTTAAAGATTCTGATTTAGGATATGCTTTCAGTATTAGATATAGCAATATCTGATTATAAGCTAACTATTCACATTTTTCAGGATACATTAAGTGATTATAAAATACATAAAATGCACAAATGAATTAGTTTAACATAGAAAAATTGAAGTTTTTTAATAGTCTGAAAAATTGTTTAGTCAGGATCCAGGGTTCTAAAGATAAGTTAGTTGGAGTAATTAAGTTAATAATGAGAAGTATAGTATTTGAGTTCATGAGCTGATAAGACTCTAATTGATGTTGTAGGTCTTTAAGCATAATTTCTGGATTGTTTTAGTAATTTAGTAAAGGTTTAAAAGGAAGTTTTGAGTCAAAGATGTAGTATTAAAAGAAGTAATACAACATTTTTTTTTGATTTATTAATTCATTTATTTTATGATTTGATAGAAAATTTGGTTTATTAGATTACATGATCTACAAAGAAAAATAGTAGCAGATTAAATAACAAATTTTTATTTTCTTTTTTTTTTTATCTTAAAATTAAAAAAAGGACAAAGCAAGAAAAAGACAATAATCGATAATTTATATCAATACTGTTTTCTGATCCTCTGCAAAATTTTGAATTTGTAATCAACAAAACCTGAATTACTTTTAACCTTAAAATATATAATATTGAGTCTTCATCAAAAGATAAAAATCGTGTTGATAAATTATTGAACTTTATCCTCTTTATCAAGTCTTGTATGACCTATTGCAATACTGATGAAAAATTAATCAGAGTTTTTTTTATGTATTCTGATATGTACAATACCATAGGTTGAAGTAATCCATTTCGGTTAAAATTTGACTATCCAGTTTTAGGCTGAATTATAACCTAAAGCTGATCGATTTCTTATATGACAATTGATGTAAAATGGCTGCTATTCATTTACCAATCAGACCAAGAAAATTGTCATATGATCAAACAAAATTCAACTAAGTTTTGAGTATGACGAATCATTTCAATCAATAAAGTAATTTTATATTGAATTAATTAATATTATTTATAGTATGCTTTACAAAAATAAAATGCTCTATTTATCAATAATAATAATATAATAATAATAATATACATATACTATATATATTGTATATATCAAAATAATATAAATTGCGGTTAACAATTAATTATCTAGCATATCATCATAATCATTATATTCCTTTTCAGTTTGATGCATATATTCATTGTCAATTTCAGTTACCTTCGTTTGTCTCAAAGCTTTCTCATAAAGTGAATAGTCAGATTGTACAAGTGCATCATGAATTTCACCATAGGTAGACAATTCTCCTCTTTGATGCTCTTCATAAATGTCTATTAAAACCTGTCTTTCTTCATATGATAGTTTAATTCGATTTGATGGTCAATTTAGAATATCTCTGTCTAATAGTTCTAATGTTGGTTTTTCTAACAGAGTATTTATTTCATGGAATGTAGTTTATTCAATGTATATCCATTTAGGAGCATTATCAGGGTGTAGTAACTTATAAACATAAGTAATATCATTATAATTTTGAGTTCTTATCAATTCCTTTTCTTGTATTGTTAATAAATGTGAATCAAGAATATCGTGAAAAAGGTGTTTTAACTAATAAAAAATATTAGTATTGAGAATGCAAATTTATCAAAATTCACTAAATAAAATAATATCTCAACTAATCGCTATGAAATAATCATAAACATTAATATGACGTTTGCTACTTAGATTTTCATCATCAGTTTGGCTTACTTTAGGTGAATAGTAATTATTGTTTCCTAATATCTTTAATAATTCTGACTGGTTATATATTGTTATTTGTTTGTCTCCCTTTTCAAAAGTGATTTGCGCCTTTAATACAACAGGCTCTTTTCTATAATTAATAAAAACTTTAGTTAGTAAAATAAACATATATAGAATATTAGTCAGTTATTATTTATTTCGTTAACGTGACTATTACTGTATACGTGTCAATTATCTTGGTCAAGCTTTCCTTTTTTATTGTATAAATATCAGCTTCTTCTATGTTTGTGTAAAGATTGCAACCAGTTTTTCAATTGATCATAGAATTGTTTATATCTCAGTCTCATTACTTTAAAAAGCTCAGGTAATAGCTTTTGACAAATTTCAGTATTGGTCTCGCTTGTAAAAGTTTCTTCTAAATTCAGATTAAGCTCAAGCGGTAAGGTCTTTAGAATTGACTTCATTTCAGTCTATTATAAATAAAGGATCAATTCAGTAAGATCAACATAACGTAGCTAATCGGTAAATTACAAACTCTTACTTCATTTAAGTCGAAGTCGAATTCAACTTCATCGTTAGCATGAACTGATATTTTTCCTTTACCTTTATGACATTTAACCAATCAAATGGTATATTCATCTGACTCAACATCAGTTTACGAAGCAAGATCATTATCACTTGAATATTATGATAATTGTAGTGATCTTAGTAGACGAAATGACCTAAAACGCTTGATTTCAGTGGTTAGTTAGTCATTTTTCTGACCAAATGCTTTGTTTATAGTCGTAAGCATCTGATTTTCATCTTCTAGACTCTTAATTTTCATCTTTAATATTTCTACTTTACTGACAAATTCTTAATTTTGATGCTTTAATTGGTCATTCTGTTTTCGTAAATTATAAATTAGCTGTTTCAGTCTATCATTTTCTAAAAAATAAAAAAAATATTTGGTAAATAGATAGACAGTATATATATTCGATTAGATATTAGACCTGTAGACAAGACTTCCACTGGTATTGTTATTGCGATACTTATGACAGTTCTCTGTTCATCATTAAAATATTAAATAGGTTACTTGGCAAGTGAATGTTAGGTTTTTTTGCTTGCAATTCTCTAATATTATCGTTTCTTGATTGGTTTCTCATAGAAGGGCTTCTCAAGAATAAAGAGAAAGTATTTTGGCCAATATCTTCTTGAACTCTAAAGTATTTGATTGAGTATTTGGTCGATTACTTCTAAAATCATCTTCTGAAATATCTGAACAGATAAGACGATTGCTTATAGTGGTAGTATTTCGACTAACGATTTCTTGATTAGAAGAATTTTGCTGAGAAGTACAATGTCGCTTAATAGCAATCTGTATATTACCTTTATTTTGATCCTTTAAAGAAGCAGTATTTTGTTTGACTTTTTTTATTCCATCCAAATTTAGATTATGCATTGAACGTCTATCAAGAACCTTTTTATCTTTATTTTTATAAGACATAATTTCAATATGTAAAAATTTATTATCTTTGTATTCTTCATGGTAAAAAATACTGTGGAGGTAATAAACGCGCTAAAAAATGACAAGTTTAACTTTGTGAACTAAGTGAAAGTTTAAATTTATTAAATTTTAGCGAAATTATCAAATTTATTTATATAAAAAGTATCACTAATCCAATAACTTACTGATTAATGAAAGTATAATTGATAGTATAGTAAATAAACTTTTGTAAAACTTATAAAATTAGTCACAGACGTATGAGATCGTTAGACATGTAATCCTTGTTTCACTTTCCTGTTTCACTTCTAAGTGCATGTAGTTAAAATACATTTTATTTAAAGCATTTACAAACAAAATTTTAATAATGACTAGAAAAAGAGCAATTGCCAGCATAATCAATGATGAAAAGCAAGTGAATCATTCCTCTGACATATATACTCATAAAAGATCAAAATTGTGTTATTATTGTAGTAAATGTAATGGTAATTTAGTAGATTTGCATACAAAAGAGCTACATGATCTGAAAGATCAAAAATCAGGCAGTAATTCTTCTAATGAATCGACAATGATAAATATGATTCAAGAAAATAAAGTTGAATTTGAAACAGCTATCATCTATGAATCACTTATATCAGATTCTTTACATCAATTCGGTCAAATTCAGCGAAATGTATAAGAAACTGAAACAATAGACGAATCTGAATTTAAATTCTTATCTAAAAGACCTAAAAGACGTGTGTATAATTGTCAGTTTACGACTACCCTACTTCAACTTTTAAATCATGAAGATTCAATAGATAAAGGAGTAGAATTTGCTACTAAAAATGATCAAAATACTGAGTTTTATTCAGAAGATATTGGATCAACAAGTGAAGAGGAGTATTTCAAAACTTTTGAAGACTACTCTTACCTTAGTTTTAAACCCTTTCAGAATCTAATTACTATAAAAATGATGAACAATGACTGATTTTTATGGATTTTAATCTGGATTATAAGCTTTCAAGCAAGGTTTAACCTTTCAGAAACAGCTACAGGAATCGTTAAAATTCATAAAATTAGTGCTAGGAGAGATTGGATGTGCTGATTTTAATAAGTTTCCTGACACTTTTTATCTTGTAAAAAAGGCTCTCAATCTTAAGAATCAATTTCATAACTTTGCGGCATGTTCAAAATGCCACAAACTATACAAAAAGTAAGAAATTAGAGACTCATCTACCATTACAATTTGTTGTCATATTGAATACCTAAATTCAAAAAATCGCAGAACACAATTATGCCAGACTGCTTTATCTCAATCAACAAAATTATTAAACAGACAAGTTTCAAACCAACCAATACTAATTTATCCATTTACTAGCATTCAACAACAATTAGCATCTATGTATTATTATCTTAGCTTCGAAAAATTATTACGCCATTGGGTAAATTAGACATCTTTCAATCAAATTTTAGCTGATATATATGATAGACAAGTCTGAAAAACATTAAAGGATGAAAACTCAGTTAATTTTTTTTCAGGCTAATATGGCTGATTCACATCTTGGGCTAATGATCAATTTAGATTAGTTTCAGCTGTATAAAGATACGATGTATAATACTGGTATTATATATTATGCTATATGTAATTTACCATGAGATATCTAATTTAAATGTAAAAATTTGCTGATAGTTGACCTTTTACTAGGATCACATGAAGTTAGCCTACACAAAATAAATCATTATATTGCATTAATTATTGACGAATTAGAGACACTATGGACTGAAATGTCTTTAAATCACACATTTGAATTTCCAGATGGAAGAGACATTTGAGCAGCATTGATAATAACTTTGTGTAATGTCTTTATTACTAGAAAAATATGCAGTTATATATTAGTATTAGTTTCATGCTATAGGTGTAAAAAGAAAGTCAATTATGAGAATCATTAGCATAACTTTGCTGGTATAGATAATATGAACAAATAGTTTGTCACTTGGTATTTAGCTCAGCATCATCGAGATGCAATTCAATAGAGACATTGCAAGTCAGATGCTATCAAGAAATGATTTGCAAAACAAATCAGAGTAAGATGGTCTGAATTGCTTTGTCTATCATACTTCAATCCTATTCGTTTCATCATTATCGATTTGATGTATTATCTATTCTTAGGCATTGTGAAATAGATAGTTAAATGAATATGGGTCAATGATGGGATATTAATGCTAGCAGAACTTAACAAAATTCAGATGAAAATGAATAAGTTCTATGTTCCATCTGACCTGGGTCAAATTTTGGATAAAATCAATTGTGGAGAAGGTTTCTCCAATTTTACAACTGATCAATGGCAGATTTTTTTCGCTATTTATGCTATAGTTATACTTTGGAAGCATCTTCTGACTAAGGATCAGAAAATTCTTACATACTTTGTAAGAGTTTATGCTATTTTAATGAACCAAATCGTAGAGATTGACCTAATAAAAGAAGCTCATTAAAAGCTAATTAAAATAGTTAAATTAATCGAAGAACATTACGGTTAAAATAAAATATCTCCAAATCTCCACCTTTCGCTTCACTTATATGAATATTCATATGATTATAGTCCCCTTTATGCGTTTTGGTACTTTTCATTTAAACGCATGAATGGCACTTTAGGTAAGTCAAATTTCACTTATTTTAGGTTATTTTAAAGTTATTTTTGTTATTTTTGATAATTTATTTTTTTAATAATTTGAAATTTATAGGTTCTTTGCCAAATAGCAATCGGCAAATTGAATTAGAAATCATGTATCGATTGATAATTGATAATCGATAATCGAATTAATGATATAAAAGTTCTGAAATACCTACAAAGGGTCTCGAATTACTTAATGATTAGCCTGCCGTTAATTTCTTATCAGAAATTGATCAATTCTCATTAGATAAGATGCATCATTTTTAGCTCAACTCAAGAAACATCTAGGAATTAAGAATTATTGGTAGTGAGCCATTTTCTGGAAGTATGCTAAAACTGACTTCTGAAGACATCTACCTTTCAAGCTCGATGCTTGATTTAATGATGAAATACTATAACACAACATATGAGATACTCAATTTTCAGAAACTGTTTGGAGAAGGTGAAGAAGACTCAATAATAATTCAGATTTTAATTGATAAATTTGGATGGTGTCAAATCAGGTCAGAAGTTTTTGGATCTGTAATATCAGTATGATACATAAATAGTTCATTTGTTTTGACAAAATTTGTTACAAATGATGATGTTGTTAATACTTATTCAGTGCAGATTCAATATTTTTTCGATCATATAGTTGATTTACCAAGTAGACCAATAAAATATTATTTAGCTTATATTTGATGATATGAGCACACAAGTTCAGCTGATACTAGATTTTATTTCAGCATTAATGACGAAGAAAGATCGTACAATATTGAGCTTTAGAATACTGATTTCTATCCTGAAAGTCAAGATTGTATTATTCTAGTTCACAATGTCCTTAGTCGATTCATACCTGTAAAGTATAAGTTTTCAACTTGAAAAATGTTTGAGAGTATTTAGCTGTAAATCTGGTTAATCGAAAACTTACCATTCACTAAATCGTATTATAATCAGCAAATTTTATAAGAATATTTATTCAAAAATATTATTTATTAAATTAAATTTGATTTAAATTTTTATTGTTTTTATCAAACCCTTTTTTAATGTCAAAATTTTAGCATAATATCATTTTTATCTAATATTCATGACGTCAAAATTTGGCATAATACCATTATTATCAAATATTTTAACATCAAAAATTTGACATAAATGATCGATAATAACACATATTTGAATTTTTTCTGAAGTTTGATCGATTCTTGATTTCAGCTAAAATTAAGCTAAAATCTCTTGCCGAATTGTTCAAAACTTAGCCGATTTGTTATATAGTCAAATGTTTTGATTTTGACCAGTATACAATTGATAATTATGCAAGCATCCTGAAAAAATAGATAGATATTATTTTCTGTTGAGATTTTTTTTCTTTTTTTTTCTTTCTAATTAATATGAGAAAACCTTTATGATCTCTCTTTTTTTTAAGTTAAAAAGAAAATTTTTTTTCAAAAAAAAAGTTTAGACGAAAAAAACAAAGAAAAAAGTTTCTTTTATTTTTATTTAAAATATTTTTTTTTTAAAGGAAAAAAAAATACCAATTAATTTTTTTTGATTTTTTACTTATTTAATTCAAAAAGAAAAAAAGATAATTTTTTTTTCACATAAAAAGGATCATGTATCTTAATACAATCACTTGATATGTAATCTATTTTTTGTTTTTATCTTTTTTTTAAAAAAAAACCTGTCAAATGAATTGAAATACGTCTAAAAATCTTTTTGACTTATAAAGCCTTTTACTTAATATTCTGATTTGAGTAAAATCTGAACTTCACATATTTTGATTGTTTATACAAAATATAATAAACAAATTAAAAAATTTTATTTAAAGAACCGCTATTCTTATATATATGCATATTCATATTCATAAAATAATAGTAATAGCAATAGTAATAAGTAATACATATACATATTCATAAAGCATATTATATAAAGCATATAGCTATAAAATCTAACTTCAAAGTTCATATTGCTGATTCCCTTAACTGAGCAAAAAATATATGAGCAAGCAATAATTATATCACTAAATATACAAATTTAGTAAAAAACATCACAAATTTAGACAGTATTACAGAAAAAATAGCTTCAATCCCTCTTATATGTCAAATATTTTAAATATTTTATTGTATGATTTTCATTTGATATATCATTGTAATTGCATTATATTGATATTTTCATAGAAAATTCAACTCTGATAGTAAATCTGATAAAATATCAATATGAAATATCACAGGCGAATAATTAGTAAGCAGGTAATATAAATTCATATAATACTAATCTAAAATTAAGATATAAAGAATAATTTAGAGTGAATATATATATATATAAATATGCATTTAACACTAAGATCCAAGTTATGATCAGATAAAAAATACATTTATAAAGGGTATATACTTATAGAGAGTGTATTTATAAAAAGTTGTCTGTATTAATATAAAAGGTTTACAATAATGAAGGAGAAATAAAAGAAAAGAGAAATATTTTACAATTAATCAACTGATTCATTTAAAATCTATAAATTGAATTAAACTGAGTTTACAAAGTTTTTACTAGAAAAATTTTTATTAATAAAATATAACATGTAAAAAATAAATACAAAGTCTAGCATGATACATGATGAAATTTTTATACTAAAAGTTGTGAACTATTATACATACTTATTTTTTTTATATGATAACTTATTATTTTAGCATTTTTCTATTAGGTTCTTCTATAATACACTCTATAATTAGTCAATAATTTATCTATAACTAAATCAAAAAGTGGTAATCTGTTATAATTGTCTGCCTTCAAGTTGAAGAGTACCTTTATTTTTAGAAAATTATATGAAGAAAAAGGTTATTATGCTATAAAGTATAAGACATTTGGTAGAATCAGAATACTCAATAAATCCTATTTAGTAGAAAATTAAATAACTTTACCTTCTATCTGTATCACTATCTACTCACTTTTTTTTACTTATTTATTAATCATTTTAATAATTTTTTTTTCATCTCATTGAGTTTATCTATTATACCTACTATTATTTAAATAGATCTAAATCTCTTAATGTTTTTAACTATTTATTTTTACTGATAAACTATCCTGATTTATGATCTTTATTATTTAACCTTTTTCTGTAATTATTATTTGATCTATAATTATCTATTTTACATTAGATTACAAAATAATTAACAATTTTTGCATTTTATATCTATATAAATCAATTATTTAATTGATTTAAAATGTATGTTAAATATTATAATGTGTAAATACTTTTTTTAAAAATTAACTATTTCACAAATAATTTGTTTTTATTTAAGAAGGTGGCATTTTTTTGATTATATAGAAGTTAATTGCACAAATCATTGTGATTTTTTTTGATTATTCAGAAAAAAAATTGAGACTTTATTTGATTATGTAACTTTTTGATTATTCAAAAAAAATTGTGACTTGTGATTATACATAAAAAGTCAACTTATGCATTTCAAATATATATGATTATTTCAAAATTTCAACTATAATTTCTCTTGCATTTTCTAGAGTTATATCATTATTGTAATCTTTATAAATTAATCTGCTTATCACTTCTGATACCAAAACTTCTTATATATAATCCATCTGCTTTAATGGAAATGCTTTAAGTAGTATCTATCAAAGTATTAGCAATAAAGTATAATTCTTTAGATCCATAATATCCAGTCTATAAATTAATATGATTTAATATAAAACAAATTAATACTAAAAAAATTAATTTGAAATTAAAACCTAAAATATCTCACATCTATTAAAATGTATTGTTGATGATTAAGCCTAATTAAAGGCAATTTTTTAGTGATAACTTGCTAGGTTTCCATAAATTCATCTTTAAATATTTGAATATGTGAAATTAACAGCATCAACAAAAGAAATTATAAAATATAAAACTAAAATATTTAGTTGATTTGAATACTAGATAAAATGGAAATGTTTTTTATTTACTAATTTGTAAGATTAGTTATATAAAAGACCTAATAGAATATTGTAAACTGAATATGCAAAAATAAATGCAAATAATTAACAATTTTTTAATTTGAAAAGGCTATTTATTAGAAAATGGTAAATGATTATAATGTAAGAGAAACATTGAATAGAAAAATAAACTTTTTTCTAAGAGTAATACACAATAGATATATAGGAATTATATTTAATGAAATTTTACGAATTATTCTGTGCAGCATGACAGATCACAGATCATGTGATTGCATCTGAATCAACGATCCAGCGCGTGACAACTTAAATAGCTTTTCGCGTCGTAACTCTGTTCTGCACGTACAGTCAACGCTCTTTATAACGAACCGGCGTCCTGTTAGAAAAAAAAAAAGTCCGTTATATAAATTACTATGTTTTTTATATGAACCATTACACTTTTTATAACGAACTATTATTAAAATTTAAAAAATTTTGAGTTCGTTATATCCAGTGTTCGTTATAAAGAGGTTCGTTATAATTTGACTTTAATTCTTATAAAATAAAATATTTCTTCTTGAGTAATAACAACTATCTCGCAAACATGAACATTCCAAAACACATTCTGTCCGTTCCGGTACCCCAAAGAAAAAGCGTGATGTTAAATCATCATAAAAAAAAAAAATTTATATGAAATAAAATGAATAACCCGTTCCCTAGTATCTTACCAAACATAAATTTCGACATTAAATGTCAGGAAATGGAATATTTAAATGATAGTATTATATCGGAATCAGAAACAATACATTGTTTAATCATATTGCAAAACGACATTTACAGTGTTGGAAAATGACGAAGTGACCTTAAAATGACATAATCATGTGATGATTTTACTATGAAATCTATCACGTGATCATATACAAAGTGATCTATGTCAAAAAAAGGGAAATGACCTTGAAATATGCCACGGTTGAAGGTGTATTGGGAAGGAGGAATGTGGAAAGGTGAGTAAATAGATTATGAAACTCTTGTATATTTTTGTACTGGTTATATGATTCGCTAAGCTAAAATCTGCTTATTGCGAAACGTAAACGAAGTGTGATCAAAGAGAAAGAAAACAGACAAATAAGAAGCTTAGAACAATTAGAAGGGATTTCTTTACCATCGTCAAATTCAAGCACCGTATCAACAGAACAGCGCTTTCCCGATGAGGTCTCAACTGGGTGGAATAATTTGATCAAGAAGTACTAGCGTGGCAACCGGAAGTCGATAAGATATACACCAACGTTTAGCCGACGTCGTACAGTCACTTGTGAAAGGACATCTGGACAGCGTCAGATAAAAGACAAAGATTGCGGGCATAACCCAAATCCAATTTTGGCAAAAGTCGAAAACTTTCGATTTCGATGGGTTTCGATAGATTTTGACGAGTTTGACCATCTTTCGATGCCTGTCAAAACCTTCGAGTTTTTCCAGGAAAAAACCTTAACTCCACTTGATCATTCAATCGTGGTTTGGGAATGCAAAACAAGTGGGTTTTGAAAGCACCTTTAATAAAGAGGAGAATCTATCGAGAATAATGATGTTGCTGAGGATAATTTGGAAGCTTCAATGCCAAAGACTTTAGCCCGCCTGTTCCAAAAAGCTTTTCGAGCAGAGGCACGTCTACGAAAGCAATCCAAGAAGAAATTTCGTGTTGGTATTGCTATGGGAAGGCATATGAAGAAAGGTTGAGTGATTAAGAATGCGCAGAAAGGAGTTAGTGATCAATCAGCTAGGAAATAATTCTATGATGACACCATGGAGCAACTTTCAGGCGGGTTTACTAAGGATACTTTGCGTAAAAAGACTCAAGTGGTTGTAAAGATTTTTTAAGCTATTTCGGGAAGATTGGTATAGCGCTTACAACACTATTTAGATTACGTGATAGACCGGTGATTTCTGCGCCACATATCTGAGTTTCGCATTACCTGTATCTGCATCATTAATAAATAAAGTTAATTCGCTCTCTTTTAAATAAATACATACTTTTTCCTTCATGCAGGTGACGTGGATGTGATGAGTTTAATGTGCATCGGAAAAAAAATAAAGATATATACGGTTTGTATAAGGAAAAGATAAACAAAAGATTTAGCAAATCAAAACAAAAGCAATCACTTTATTATTGTAATTATCAGCGATGAAATTGTGCAAACAGTTTTTCCTGATATCTAATATAGATCTACAAGAACTATTAATAACTATTGTTTTTTTAAAACGACATGTTGTAATCTATACAAATCAATTATGAAATTTTGAGCTATTACTGTATTAGGGACTGTCACAGTATATCCAGCTACGTTCGGAACTCCTGCTACGATTGGCGGATCCCAGAAAACATCGGATACTGGGATTGATACTTTGTAATTAGGCAAGCCTGGGCCAGTACAATCGCCAGGTTGATTACTGTTAGATAGCAAAGTTCCGAAGTCCCACTATAATATTGCAAAATTTATATTTTTAAGCTCTAAGATGCTTAATCACAGGAAATACTAACGGTGGATCAATCTTACTTCTAAAACAGATACTCCGGCTAAGTTTGGATTTGCCGATGTGGTACTTCCTGCTGGTGCCGGAAGTTGACGAGTCCACAACTTGGCCTAATATCAAAAGAAACTCTTAGAGATGAAATTATAAAAATAAAGCAGATAGGTAGACATACCTTCATAGACCGATGATTTGACCTTTTGCGTTTATCATAAATTTTTATTCCGAATACACTTCGAACGTATTGTTGAAGTAACCAACCTTCGCATTTTTTATTCAAAAAAGCCATATCTTCACATGCGGCTATCTCAACAATAATTCGCGCATGTGGGTTTTGCTATGTGAACATATTAATATCGATAAAATAGCTCAAAATAAAATGTAATAATATATCATTAGACTTTATGTACATTTATATCACCAGGAGGAGGCCCGGGATTCAAAGGAGTTTGAACAAGTGTTATATGCGGACAGATTTCAATATCTGCCGCTGTTTTTATTCTGACATTAGAAGGATCATAATGAACTGTAGAAAAATGTAAAGTGTTGTTATGATCCAAAGATCATGAAGAACTAGAGGGAATTCTTACATGATCGTAGTGCATTATCTATTGGTGGATCATCATCAACGCCACCGTTTGGAACATTAAAGTAATTAATTAGTCGCACAACAACGGCTTCACGCTCAGGGATTGCCATATCAACAATATATACGTCTCCGTTGTCCCAGTGAAATTTATATCCAGTTGAACCGTTATTCTCAAGAAAATTGTTATAAGCTTCCACAGGAACTCTCGAACCAATCTGGAAAGGTAACCTGCAACCATATAATGAGTCAACACTGGGCAGCTCAAGAGTCATATTAAAACCCACTCACTTATTTTCCTCTGGAGTCCTTTCTGGTAACACCGGGTAATTCGGGTATCTATAGAGCTTATTTAGAACTTTCCCTACTATTGAAAACATTTTGAAAGAAGGAGGTTTCGTAAAAAATGTAAGGGGACAACAATCGAACGATGAACTGATTTTGTAGCTGATTGGAATCAAATGATTGTATGTGAAAATAAATAAAATATGTGATAATAATTCTGGTAGAAATTATATTTAAATTTTAAATTTTATAAAGAGTCTAATTTAATATCGAGGCATTGATTTTCTCCCTTACTTATCACTTAGTTTCCCATTAAAAACAAAAGTTTTTCACTCCTTGGGTTTCAAAGCTCCTTTTAATAAGATTAATTCTTCTATCATTGATCCATTATCTGGCATATAGAAAATATCTGATGTAGTGGTGATAAAATTCTTTTAGAATATGTTCTCAATTGGTTCTCATATCTTGTGCAATATCCTGAAAAAAAAACCTGTTACTGTTTTAGTATTGCAATATTTTAACAGACTTCATAGGTAAGAAAGTATTAAGGCTAGAATTATTCTTTGCAATATCAGATCTTAAAAAATTATTAAACTGATTTAATAGTTGCATACAGGCACATAAACTTATCTTTTTAAATGAAGTGAGAATGGCCTTTAGAGAATAGCATAAGGCTAATGATTACTTAAAATCACTTATCATTGAACTGTATATAATAATAAAATGTAAAAGACTTAAGCCTAAAACAATTAAGGATTATACTGGATATATAGTTTTAAGCAATTATGATACATCACTTCATGTTAAAATGGATAATAAATGTATTATATGTCTAGATATATTACCTTGCTGTAAAAAAAATATGAAATACTTTAAGTATTTAGAAAAAATTTTAAACAATCCAAATACATCTAGTATTATTTACTTAAACATGACCTTTTAAATTAGGTATTATAAAATATTCTTAATACAAAAATGAGAATAGATACAATGCAAAATCAACTACCTAATTCTATTAAATTTATAATTAATTATATTTTCTTATGATCTGTAAAAAAATTGATAAGCTATACTGTACAAATTTATATCAAAAATATCTTATTTAGTGCAAAAATAACGAAGAAAAACCATTTGCCAGTACTATACTTAGAAAATATTAGTATTAATAAAATACATTTACAAAGTACTAGAAAAAGAAATTATTATTATATTATTGATTACTTAAAACCATAATTAAACTTTGTGAGTCTAGTCAGATAATATCAAAGAATTTTCTAAAATACCTTAAGCTAACTTATCTATAAATAATATCATAGACATATTTATATTTAATATACCAAAAATGACTTTTACAAAAATAATCATATCTCAAAAAAAAAATATATTCTCTTTTAGTTATAAAAAGAGATAAATAGATGATTTGACTCAAATTCTTTTCAATTATATAATAAAATAAGCAGATGTTCTAGTTGCTTTAATATCTAAAACTTCTAAAATTTCTAAGACATCTAAACTATCTGAACAAATAATTGATGAATCTAAAATCAGTAAACCTTCTAAACTTATTAAATCTAATATTAATATACTATCTGTATACATCTAACTAGAGTCTAATATAAATAATATTTCAAAAAAAGTGTAATTAAACTTGATGAGAATCATGATAAGTTTGTAATATTACAGAAGAAAATAAATTCAGTTCTATTTAATTTCAAGATAAGATAAAAACTAATATACAAATATGTAATTTTGCAAAAGAAGAAGAAAAATTTTCAATAATATATGAAAATATTAGTGTATAAAAAATTGATAAGAGAAGAAATTATATGTTATGAACTTGAAAATAAAAAAATTACATTTTCATGGCTTGATACTGATAAGGAGTAAAAAAACAATAAGCATATTTTAGAAGAATAGTATGCTTTAGTAAAGATTAAATTAGTCTATTTTATAGATGATAATATATAATAAGGAACTTTTCACTTTTTACAACTAAGTAATATAAAATCAGAAAAATCTATTTTTTTTTCTTTATTCATTTCTTGACAAATAATTTAAAAGTTTTTGCAAGTTAAAGAGCTTCAATCCTATATTTTTATCTATTTGATAATTGAATTAATAAAATCTGACAAAATGTTTAGGATAATATTCTATAATAGAACAGTAGATATTTTATAAATAAAGTAAGTTTTTTTCATATTTTTTCATGTAATGATTATAGAGTATTTATATATAGTAAATTATCAAAATATTTTTTTCAAATTGAACTTTTTTAAATAAAAAATAATCTAATAATTATGCATAATCTAATAGTTACTCTATAATATATATTAATATTATATTTGTAATTGTAATAATATATGTTACAGATCACAAACTCAATAAAGATATGAATAATAAAAAACTTAACCAATATGCTCTAGTATTATTTAAACTTTTAATAGATAAAGTGAAAAAAGATAATAGTAATCAATGCTTTCAAAAAAGATATAATTTTACCAAAAAGCAAACATTTATATTAGTTCTTGATCAAAGAACTTGTCAAAGTAAAAGTTAAATAACTTCTCAAATGGAAGAGTTAAAAGTCAAAGAAGTTAATATATACTAAGTGTCTAATCTTATTTTAGAAGAAAAAATTGTTAAAAGTACAGCTTAGTATATTATCTTAATAAAAAAGATGTAAAAGCTATAATAAGAATCTTAGCTGAAATAGCTTCTAATTCTATAACTAATACATCTTATCTCAATAGATTTTAAGAAAATTGGAACAGCTTAAAGCCTCAAAAGTGATAATCCCTATTACATCAAATTAAGAGATAGTCTGTTTATCTAATAAAATTCAAAGAAGCATAATAAATAATATGAAAACGAAAGAATTAATTATCTTAATCATTTTATATTAGAATTAGTTAAGAAGAAATTGAATTTATATTATGTGATTAATAATTTGATGTATAAACTTTAGCTAATATAATAATAATGCTTTGCATTTGTCTTCAGAAATTAAAAGCTTACATATATCTAATAGGACTGTAATTGGATATACAAAAAATTAAAGATAACAAAACATCTTTTAAGTATTTAGATTACTAGAAATGAACAAGAAATAGACTAAGCAATTCTTTATTTAGATTCAGAATGCAATTTCTTTTAGACAATTGAGAAACCCAAAAGAGCCAAAAGTCAAATGGTTCAATATATTCCTAAAAAAGATAAATTTCTTTCTGAAACTGATAAATCACTACTTTCTAAATATTTGCAATTATAATGTATTATCAAAGAATTTATCAAAAACTGATACAATTGCTAATGAAATACTTTATTACAATTCTAATAATAATGTCTATTTAAGTAAGAGGTATACTATAGTAAATTATTGAATAAAAAAATAATCTTATAATTAGATAAAAGTATTTAAGCTCTTCAATAAAAACTAATCATATAAATGGATTAGATATAGTACTTTTTCAATCCCTTT